TGATAGACAGATAGACCAATGGAACAGAATCGAAAACCCAGAAATTGACCCATCCATCTATGGACAGCTGATCTTTGACAAAAGTCCAAAACCCATTAAATGGGGAAGAGATAGCCTCTTTAACAAATGGTGCTGGCAAAACTGGATATCCACCTGCAGAAAAATGAAACAAGACCTGTACTTCACCCCATACACAAAAACAAACACAAGTTGTATCAAAAACTTAAATGTAAAACCCAAAACTATAAAATTCATCAAAAGTAAAATAGGGGAAATCTAGGAGCCATAACTTACAGCATAAATAGACTATCAAACATAACCCAGAATGCACAGGAGGTAGAAGAGAAGCTAGATGACTGGGACCTTTTAACACTTAAATTCTTATGCACATCGAAAGACTTCACCAAAAGAGAACCTACAGATTGGGAGAAAATATTTGCCTATGACATATCTGACAAAGGACTTATCTCTAAAATCAACAGAAAACTTCAACACCTCAACACCAAAAAGACAAACAATCCAATTAAAAACTGAGCAAGAGACATTAATAGACACTTCACTAAAGATGATACACCGGTGGCCAACAAACACATGAGGAATTGTTCTCAATCTTTAGTCATTAGAGAGATGCAAATCAAAACAATGATGAGATATCCTCACCCAGCAATAATAGCAAAGTTCAACAAGACAGAAAATAACAAATGCTGGGGAGGTTGCAGAGAGATTGGAACTCTCATATGCTCCTGGTGGGATTGTAAAATGGTACAATCATTGTGGCGAACAGTATGTTGTTCCTTAAAAAACTGAAAATAGAAACACTGTTTGACCCAGTAATTTCATTACTAGGAATATATCCTAAAGAGGTGAGAGGCAGGACACAAACAGACACATGCATACCTATGTTCATCGTGCACAATTCACTATAGCAAAGAGATGGAAACAACCTAAATGCCCATCAACAAATGAATGGATAACCTAATTACGGTACATTCACACAATGGAACAGTATGCTACCTTAAAGAACAATGAGGGATACGCCAATCATCTCACAACGTGGATGAGCCTGGAGGACATTATGCTGAGTGAAATAAGTCAATCGCAGAAGGACAAATACTGTATGAGCCCATTACTTTAAAAAGACAAGGGTTTGCTTAAGAAAGAGAACTCACTTTGTAGGATACCAGGGAGGGGACGGAATGGGATGGATTAATTTCAGGCTAGTTAGGGGTCACACGCTGTGGTAGATAAGGGGAGGAATGGTATGGAAAGAGTCTGTGACCAGCATGATAACATTGGGGAAAGGGAGAACACTAATTTGTACACATAAGATATAGACGACAGAGGCTAATAGTAATATATCCACAATACTGCATTATCAGTAACACCAAAGGTCAGGTTACAGATAAACACATAAACATCTGAGAGGATCAGATGGGGCTCAGTGAACAGGATTATACTCTAGACCAAGGATAGATTCAGCTGAGGCTAATCTTGTACAGATACCAGTGATACAAAATACGCACAGTCCTTACAGAAACAACAGAAGACAGACATAAAGCAATCCCTCACAGACAGCTAGACATTGTGGGAGAGAGATCCAATGGATCTACCAACTCAGGACCATAGTATTGGGGGACACCAGACTCAACTGGTACAACAAAATACATTAAAAGCTTGTTCCACAACCTACATTGATGCAAGTGACTGGAGTCTTAAAAAGCTTTTGAGCGGCCATCTAAGATGCAGCTAATGGTCACCAATCATTGGAAGCAAAGAGTGCAAAAAACCAAGGGCATTTTGAAGCAATCAGCTCTAAAGAGCAAAAGAACTAGATGGTGCCCAGCTACCAAAACCTCAACAGCAGAAGAACTAGATGGTGCCCAGCTACCAAAGCCAACCACTCAGGATCAAAACTGGAGATCATGGATAGAGTGGGAGGAAAAATGTGGAACAAAATCCAAAAACACAATAATGACCAGAATTACTGGTCGTATGGAGTCTGGTGGGACCCCCAAT